GCCCGGGGCTCGTGGGAAAGCCCGCTGCTGGATCCGGCCAGCTGTGTCATGCTTGTCCTGGTAGGAGTTCTGTGGCGGCTCGTGGGTTCTGCCGGACTAGGTGGCACCAGCCCTGGCTGGGGAGATCCCAGCTCTGCCATCACCCCCAAACCCGAGGCTCCTGGGCAGCACATGGGGGGCCGTGTGTCCCCTCCCAGGAGAACAGGAGACTCGGGGGAGCCGAGGCGGAGGCTTGCGTGAGAGTGGGCGTGGCCCCGGGCGTGAGCGCGGACAGCTCGTGACACTCGTACACCCTTGGCACCGAGCTTGCTGTCACCGCCTTTCCTTTTCCTTTTTAAGAATTTTTGCTGTAGGGCACGTGCACCTGCCGTAGAACAAAGAGAGAGAACCTCCCTGGGGGACGGCCACGCCGCAGTCCCTTCTCCATTCTCCTCTCAGGATCTTGGGCACGCACGCACACATGCCTGGTGTGAGTTTTAAGCCACCGGGTCCGGGATTCAAACCATGGTCGACCACGTGGGAGTTGAGCAACACAACCCTGCCTTTTCTGCCTTTGAGCCAGGGTGTTTATGGCAGTGTCTGGCCGAGGTTTCCTGCTGCCCAGAGTGGCCTGGACTGGAGTAGGTGGGGGCGCGGGGGCCACGCTGTCTGCTTTTCACGTTGGCTCCAGACCCTTGTCTACAAGAACACTGTAGCCGTGGTCCTGGCACCTGCTGGCCAGGCATGCACAGGCCGCCACTGGCCAAGGCACGGGCTCTCTGGCCCACAGAAAAGTGCAGAGGGGCAGGGTAGATGGCCCCTGAGGTTCGGGCCACGCCACCCTCCTTGTGGTCACCGCCCTGCCTCTGCTCGCCTGACGCCCGCAGCGCCCCCAGGGTGATGGCCAGACATGTCCCATGTGGCCACGTGTGCCGCGGCCGAGACCGGCAGCTGGTGTGCAGCTGGGCGGTGTTGTCGGCTGGTCTTTGTGAGCCAGTGGGAAGACCCAGCTCCATCCCGATGAGGAAGTGAGGGGGAAAGTGAGAAGCCCGGCCCTTCCCGTGACTCTGGAGGTGCATTCTTGGCCCACGCACCCTGAGGTCTGGCCGCAGCGTCGTGGTCCCCAGATTCAGGTGCTGGGCTTTAATTAGAGGAGTGTTTGTGGTAGAAAATGAACCATGTGGGACAAAACACCCTTCACGTAAAATACAGCTGACTCCTCTCCGAGGTTCGAGGGCAGCGCTCTGAAGGCAGTCCCGAGGAGCTGACAAACGTCACAGAGCGTAGGCATCTCCTCAGAGAAAATCCGTGTAGAGTACAACTTCCGGCCGACAGAGCCTGTCCTGACTGCCAGGACCGTACTGTCTACCCTGCTCGCATCTGTCTGTCTGTCCGTCCGTCTGTCTGTTGTTGAGGACGTGCTGTTCCTGTGTCTGACCCCCGGCCGGGCTCCCCATCATCACATCCTGAGTCCTACTTGGTCCCCTCCTCATGCAGCCTCTGCCGGCTGTGGTCTGGTCCGGCCAGGGCCCAGCTGCGGGGGACTGACCACTGTCCAACTGCGTCCTGTCGTCCCCAACCTCCCTGGGGCCTCCCGAGGACAGTCCAGCCTCTGCCTTCTCCAGGTGCCATCAGGCTGTGCCATTTGGGCACAGGCACCATTCGAGCTGAGCTCAAGCCAGGACGGCACCATCCAGCATGGCAGCCAATGTCTTCTTCCTGGCACGGGCCAGGCAGGCTGGTGCGTGCCCGTCCGAGGTGGAGGGACCAGCCTGTGCTGGCTAAGGCTGCGGGGTGGCGCCGACCTGAGGCCGGCGGCGTCCAGGCAGGAAAAACGTCCTGAGGCCGGCGTCGGCCAGGCAGGCAGGCCCAGCCAGTCCTGAAGTGTGGGTTGTTGCCGGGAAGAGGGCGCGCTGGGCGCTGGGCGTTTCCTGCTGCCACTTCCACTGAAGCAGGAGGAAGCGCAGTGCTGGGCCTGGGGCGCTGGCGTGCTCCGGGGAACCGCGTGTGGGGCGGCGCGGGGAGACAGCTGGTAACGCACGACTGCTTGGACTGTTTTAAACAGATTTTTGGAAACTGGACCTTCGGGACGCTGGTGTTCACTGTGATGGTATTTACGGTCACGTTCAAGGTAAGCGTCATCGCGGGTCTCTGCTCCAGCCGCGGGTGGCCCTGGCCAGCATGGGTCTCACTTGGCGCCCTTCGTATTCCTAACGCACGCCGAGGTGAGATCCCGCCGCGGCCCCTCACCAGGGAGCCCCTGTGACGCCAGCAGGCGACACCTTCCTGCCAGTCAAGTGAACCACGCGCCGTGTCCCGGCTGCAGGCCGGCAGGACTGACTCCAGGGAGGCAGACGAGGGCCGTCCCTTGTTCTGGAAGGGTTCAAGTCAGGCATCCTTAGGCGAGCAGCCCTACCTGCGGGACCCGGACACGGTTCACAGAACGATCGGGCACTGGGAGAATGAGTGCTACAGGTCAAGTCAGACTCCACAGTGCCGTGAGCCCCGACCGTCCGAGCGTGTCAGAGATGGCGGTTCCCAGGTCGCTGTCTCGGTAGCGACATGAGTGGCACCTCTGCGCCCCGGCCCATGCAAAGTGCGTCCACAGCTCCGCGTGGGCGGTCTGGGCCACGTGCGCTGGCCAGCTGCCCGGAAGGGCCGTGGCATGGCTGCCATTTCCCCCCCCCGGCA